ATATTGTAAGTCCATAAACTCTTCTAATGAATTGAATGGCAGTGGTAATCCCAAGCGGAACATACCGCTTAACCTTCCTCAGAAGTTAGCCCTGGGGCCTCCAGCAGGCAGCCAGCTGATGCATTGTGAAATAGTCATTAATACTCTCTCAGAGAGCTTGGGCTGCAAGACGAACTAGACAACTTCCCTGTACTTTCCGCATTTTTAGAAACAGAAGAGCGTGTGTGCAGTTCCATTATTTCATAGTTAATTTTCGAGCGTCCTCCCTGGAACACAGTCATCATTATCATTCTCTTTTCTCTGCCTTGACCCTGTCGACCCTGCCAAGGGCATGGAAGGCCTGAGCTCCTCTGGATCGTGCATTTCTGGGTGGTTACTGGACACAGCGAGGGGCATGCAAGGCTGAAGTGAATGCTCTATACCCTGAACCAGGAAAGCTGGGATTCCACACACAGGCACCACCCGTGGTATCACGCTCAGTAATTAAGGGAATCTATAAACAATCACAAGACACCAGGCAGAACCTAGAGGCTTCTGGGTCCTTTCTGATAGAGGAAGGGCACTGTAACAGCTAAGGCAATTCCCCCAGTTCACTCTTGAGGAGGAATAACCGGCAACTCTGTTGGTCAAAGGCAAACTTTAAATTCAAATGGGAACATTAAAGGTAATATACCACTATGTGACTCTGCTGACACAGTAAAGAGCATTCTTTGCTTCTTAGTCAAATGGAGGCAAAGCAAGCCAGAGCCAATGAACACATAGTTATCATATAACACAGGTACAGGCATTAGTGCCAGTGTTAGAAAACTAGAATTTTGCAAATGAATTGCCCTTGTATATGTGTGTCCTCTAAGGGGTCTGCTAAATCTGGGTGTTAAATGGAAGCATGGCAGATGTATTTGACTGCGGCTGCGGACACCTCTGCCTGCTGAGGACCTACAGCTCATGATTCTTACCTGACATTGACAACTGCAGGTTTACAAGGTAGATCTGAAAGGCAACTTTCTCTGGTTGTAGAAGAAGGTGTTTAGAGATATCACTGTTGGAATGAACCACAGTGTTTCCTACACCGATGGGTAGATGAGTAACCAGGGTCCAGTCTTACACAGTCCACTTACTCCTGCACAGGGATCTGCAGGGACCTTGAGGGAAAATGCCCTAAAACCACCCATTTCATTAACTGTGTCCTTTAGGGGATCTGAGTGACTTACTCTTTAAAATCTCATCTAAGAGCTATGAAGAAGAGACAGTGCCCAGCCCTACGTGGGATGTCCTTCTCACTGTCATTGGCTCAGAGAACATAAGAGAGGAGGTAAGAATGTAAGAGCTGGGGGATGGGGAGGATTGCTTCTGTGCAAGCTTTGGGACCTGAAATAGTTCTCACACTCACGAGCACAAAACAGCTCTAGCTACCTGCACAAGATCAGTCTGGCCCCGTACCTTACTGAAGAGCAGTTAATAACTGCTGGCGGTGGGGGCTCACTCTGTTTTGAATGTGGTAGAATGGTCATTTCCAGCACACCCATGCACAGATGGGCAGTGTTACTTGGACAAATCAGATAAGTCAAACTGAACCAACATCCCCTCACTGGCAGGACCATAGGATCCAACATCCCCCCTGGTAGTCCCACAGGATTCACACACACACACACACACACACACACACACACACACACACACACACACACACACACACACACGGCAGGTAGCCTGTCTGTCTAACATCACTGAGTTCATGACCACATCGAGTCATTGCTCACTCCTCAGGCTCTGGCAAGACGCGCTGGAGAGGTGGGATTGGGTCCTTCTATGGGCAGTCCTGGGATGTCCTGGCCTGGACCACCCTGCTGTGGTCACAGGAACATTTCCTCTGCCTCCCTCCCCCTGGTGGCCCTATGGCACTCCAGCCCAATCTTGCCTCCATATCTCTTGGGTGTTTCCCATGCATGACACTGTCGACTCAGTATGTCCTCCCCTAAGAGGAAGCCCTCATGTCCAGGCCAAGTAGGCCTTGAGCTGTCACCAGCCATTATGGTAATATCTCACAGCTAATTACCCTGCATATTGTAGCTTGAACTCATAAAATGGCCATATTACCAGCACAGCAGGCCTACCTGCCTTGTACTTGGATAGACTCAGAGGCAGCAATGTGATTCAAAGCTCTTTCACCCCCTTTACCCAAGTGCACAGACAATTAGGAGCGTCAGCTTTTGTGGCTCAAAATAATGACATACTCCTGCCTCTCACGACCCTGGACTCAGCTCAGTGGTTCCATCAGGTAGTGGTTGAGGTGTCTTTGTGGCCTGTCAGGGATGATCTGGGGGGCCAGATGGGTGCTCACCATCAACCAATCCCCGCCACCCCATCTGCACGTCTGTCCAAGGGACAGAAGCACTTACTCCTTGCTGTGGTTCAGCGCTTGCTGGCTGCCTGCTCGTTTACGTGCATGCATGCGTAGTCTCCGACGCCCTGTGAGCTGTGGGTTGCAGAGACATGGTCTGCTGCTCCAGTGGACAAAGCAGGAGCCTTCCCAAGAGCCCCTGTGGAGCCAGCCTCTGCCCCTGCATGGGTGTTGGGGACAAGCAGAGGTGGCAGTTCTAACTGAGCATGCTGAGTGCTTTTCTGTCCTCAGATTCTCCCACCAGACCCCAGCAGGCTCTCTGCTGTGACTCCGTGATGACCCAGCAAGGCAGGGGGAGTCTGGAAGTGTTTCAGGTGTTGAGCCCAAGTTTAAGGAAGTGTCCACCACCTCTTGAGATGGGGACCCCGTCTGTGCAAAGACCACTGGCTTCTCAAAAGCACCAGGGCACAGGAGGATGGGGACAGCTCACGTGCTCTTCCTCAGACCCATGCAGCGTCTGTCACATCCACAGGACACCTGGAGATATTTGGGTTCCAGGTGGTGGAGCAGCTCAGACATCGGAGGGGACTGAGAAGCAATCTGGAAATGTAGGGTCGGGCTCTCAGACTGACAGGGATCTAGCCAGCAGCCAATAGCTCCTGAGTCCCATTCCAGGAGTAGGGAGACCTTCACAGTGCCAAGCGGTCTCCTCACATGCAGTGCAACACCAGGGATACCAGAAATGTATTTCAGGGAGTGCACACAGTCACTGGTCCTTCCTCAGAGAGACCCTCTAGGCAACACGCCGCACACACCTGCAGAAGGCAAGTCTGACGCATCTGTTACCATGAGAGCTCCGAGGAGCAGTTCAAGCAGCTCCTAAATTTCTAACCATGCAATGGCCTCCCTGTTAATCAAGAGAAGTTGGTTTTCTTTCCTCAAAACCTTACAGAAACAGTTCCTCATTTAGGAAAACCACAGCCTAGCCAAGAAAGGTCATTCATTCCAGGATATCTGACATATGGACATTCCTGCCACTGCGTCTGTGTGGAGACATTGCATGTCTGCATATGTGTCCTCCCAAAGGGTGCTTCCATCCCGCTAGGTGTACAGAAACAGTCTGTGAGCCACTCTTTCAACACCTATAGCACAAAGTACCAGCAACAGTCAGCAAGCATGGCCGGCACTTAGACTATCCTCTTCCGTATGCCCGTGGCTAACCTGGGTGCTTGCATACTGAAATATGCACTATTTTGAAATTGATTTTGGCATTACAATTTATTTGGGTTAATTTCCCATGTTAATTTTAAGGAGTTTCCAGGTGTGTCGATTAGTTAATCAGATGTGACATTACGACATTTGTTGAGGACAGTGATACCTTCCATTTGGGACATGGCTGGTGTATTAGTAATTTTTCTGTTGCTGTGATAAAACACCATGACCAAGGTAACCTATAGGAGGAAGGGATTGTTTAGATTTATGGTTTTAGAGGGACGAGAGTCCAGCACCGTCCAGGTGGGGGAGTGTGACAGCAGGGGGGTGTGGTTGGGGGGAACAGCTGAGAGCTCACATCTGGAGTCAAAAGTAGGAAACACACACACATACGTACATACATGCATACACACATACAGATATACACACATACACACACATACATACACACATACATAATACACACACATACATACACACACTTACATACACACATATACACAGCAGGTGGGTGTGGTTGGGTGGAACAGCTGAAAGCTCACATCTTGAGCCAAAAGTAGGAAACACACACACATACACACACGCACACACACATGCATACATAAACACACATAGTTACACACATGCACACACATACATACATACATACATACACATACACACACCACACACACCACACACACATGCATACATAAACACACATAGTTACACACATACACACACATACATACATACATACATACACATACACACACCACACACACCACACACACACACATACACACCACACACATACACACACAGAGGGAGGCGGGAGAGAGAGAGAGACAGAGAGAGGGAGAGAGAGACAGAAACAGAGACAGAGACAGAGAATGGTGAGTCTTTTGAAACCTCAAAGCTACCCCCATTGACACACTTCCTCCTAAGCCTCACCAAGCAGCACCGTGACCTGGGGACCAAGTATTCAAAAGCCTGAGACATCCCCTTCAAACCGTCACATCTGGAAACTGCAGCTTTGAAGGACAGTAGAGGTGTGCCGGCCTCTCCAGGAGACCCAGCTTCTGGTGCAAGATGCAAAAGCAGCCCCTTAGCTGAAGCAATGAGGCCCCCACAGCTCCCTCATGCACCGACTTCACAGAGCTGTCATGTCCCTGTGCTCTGAAACCGTCATACAAACACAGCAAATACCCAATACTTCTAGCACAGGCCCCACAAGGACAAGGCACTCTTGGAGACCTCGAAGGAGGATTGAGCAGGGCCTTTATCCATGGTGCCACAGAGCATCCCTGAGATGTTCTCCACCATAGCCCGAGGACCACGGCTTTATGAGAGGGTACCAAGCTTGATGTATCATCAGAATCCTTGTTCTCCCCAAAGAATTAAAAAGTTATTTCAGAAATTCATGTTGGGCAACCCCTAAAGTGTGTCACTGATTCTACTGACTTACCTGTCGCATGGAGGCAGGAGGACCCTGCCTGGCCATCAGAGCCCAACCTGCAAAGGCATAGATTCAGTTCTCCGAAGACTAAGATCTTCAAATGCTTCCAGGTGATTCAAATCTGTGCAAGAAGACAGAAAGGATGGAAGGAGTGGGCTCCCCAAGAATACAAACAGGCCCCTGTGAGCTCCAGCAGCCGTGACCGTGCACCCCGAGGCCTTCCCAGGTGGAGTATCAGGACCCTCTAACACTCTCTGCATTTTTAGTCAGCTGGAGAAGCAACAGGCTTCAGTAGAGACCATGCTGGGCCCCCGGGAGTAATAGCGTGTAAAACCCCAGCCATGGCATAAGATCCCTCTCTGCAGGTATCCAGGGTGGAGTCATGTGGAAAGGGCCCCAGGTCCTGGCCACCGGAGCCCAGTATTGTAACGTGCATTCTTCCCGCCAGCCTGGACCCAGTGCCTCGTCAACTCCAAATAACACATGGAGACTCTGTTAGTTACAATGCTGCCGTCCAATGACCAGGGCTTCTCATTGGCTAATTCTGTCTTAAGTATTAAACCATGACTACTGCCGGGCGGTGGTGGTGCATGCCTTTAATCCCAGCACTCGGGAGGCAGAGGCAGGCGGATCTCTGTGAGTTCAAGACCAGGCTGGACCGATAGCCTCCAAAACAATACAGAGAAACCCTGTCTCGTAAAAGCAAAAACAACAACAACAAAAAACCATGACTACTAATACATATTTCTATAAGGTCTTAATCTTTCTGAGGACGGCATCCTGACTCATCTTCTCTTCCCTGGGATCACATGGCGACCCTCTACTCTTGACTGCATTTCCCAGAGTCCTCTTTGACTTCTAGTCCCACCTATCTAGCTTCCCTATTGGCCAACAGTGCTTTATTTATACCAATCAGACAAACACATACACAGAAGGACTTCCCCCCCCATCACAGTATAGTCGCCAGAGGTGAGCCAAAACACCACCTAGAGGTCTGAGATCTGTGCCAGGGAGGTGGGAAGAATGACCCCGGGGACAACGAAGCACCGTTTGTAGATGTCAGGGCAGATGGGGAACAGCCCTGGCTTACTGCACGGCCAGGACAGCATCCTTCAAGTGGTGGTGACCAGGGGCCCACCTTCTATGGCCCTCGCCAAGTCCCTGATGCCAAGGCCTGCCAAGGACTACAGGAGGAAGACATTCAGCTCATTCTTTGGGTTTGGTCCTGGATAAAAACTCACTCCAAGTTCAACGTCAACCCTTTCCTCCAGTCCACTGACATTCCCTGGGTCACTTGGCAGAACCGTGAAGCCGCAAGTCTCACTGTAGCCCCTTAACCTTCCTTACCGGCTCCTTTGAGGGGCTTGTTTCTGAACACCTTCACCATCTGGGGGTGCTCACTGCCTCATCAGACAAGAGAGGTGCCACGGAAAGAGACTACAAAGTTGTAGACCAGTGGTTCTCAACCCATGGGTTGGGACTCCCTTCAGGGTCAAACATCCCTTTCTCTGGGGTCACCTAAGACCACACTTACATTATAATTTATAACAGTAGCAAAATTACAGCTATAAAGTAGCAATGGGATTTTATGGTTGGGGGTCACCACAACATGAAGAACTATGTTAAAGGGTCACAGCATTAGGACGGTTGAGAGCCACTGACCTACAGGAACCGGATACCTGGAATGGTACGTCACCATCATCATGAGATGTCTGCGTGGCAGAGGGAATGTCTGAAAAGAGCACAGATAAAACTGTGATGGAATTTAATTCTTTTCAAAGCAAAATGAGATTTGAAAACTTTGAAATAAAAAAAATCCTTTAAGCCAGTTTGTGTTTCAGCAGATTTATATCCTCATGTCATTTTTCTCCCCAGGGACAGGATTGTACAGCAAGGAACCACACTGGCCATCTGCAGAGGACACACACCCTCCTTCTAAACAAAGGTGAGCAACACATGCACCATGAACACTGTGCCTGGGTCAGACCGGCGTTCAACCTGGTTCTAACATGAAGAATGGTGACATTTTAAGGACCCAAATTAATTTTTATTAAAATTGATTAATCTAAATAAAGTAGAGTGAGGACACGTAAAATGGCCTGGACCTTTCCACTGTTAGATGAAGACAGTGCACAAGTCCCACGGCCTTGGGTTTCCAGTAGCCTTGGCATCCCAGCTCCTGCCCAGGTAGGCTCAGGAGCTAAGGGGAGGGCATAGCCCCCAGGCTCTGTGCAAGCGCTGACACTTGACCTTGGCCTGTATCCCGCTAAGCTTTGGGCAGTGATGAGATCTTGAAATGGAATTAGCCTGGTGTGTCCTCATCCCAGTGGGAGCCACGCAGCTCTACCTCTCTTGTCTTAATGGCTTCCTCACTACAGAGCTCCAATTGAATAGCCGTCTCCAAGACATAGAATCAAATCTACCAGTGTAAATCGATGGAAAGGAAATCAGAACCAAAGGCTGGGTTGTTTTTACAGAGAACCCTGAGCAAGGCAAGTTTGCATGGAGCCCCCTGCCCACCCGGAGACTCCCAGCTCCACGTGGCAGGGTCAGGCACACTAATGGATGAAGCAGACTTTGAGAGCAGAGGTTAAGGATGAGGTTATTGCAAGGGAATTGAAGTCTGGCCTGCCCACCTCCCAGAGTGACTAGATATCAGAATGAAGGAACAGCATCATTGAGTGTCCAACTTCAAATGAAGATACTGGAGTTGTGACTGTCCCCAGGGCCCCTTGCCTAGTACCTTTGTGTATGTGAGGTTTAAATACACAGAGTCCTTAGCCCCACAGAGACAATGAGACAGCCAAAAGGGAACTGTGGAGGCTTAGAGTTGGAGGCGACAATGTTGGGAGCGGGCCTCTATCTGTGCACCAGGCTCTAGTAAACCTGGTGGGGCAGTGGGGGGGGGGTGGGGAGTGGGGGGGGGGAACATGATGACTCAGCATCTTGTATTACTCTCTCCCTCCCCGTTTCCTTTAGACCTGCCCATCCTACACACACACACACACACACACACACACACACATACACACACACATACACACACATACACACACACACACACACACACACACACACGCACGCTGCCATGGAAAACCATTTCCTATGTTAATTAATTCTTTAGCATCAAGGCTGACCCATTATCAATTGCAACCCTGCCCCAAAACATACAATTTCCCTATTTTGTTTGTGTGTCTGTGTGTACAGACTTTCAAATGTGTGTAGGCACAAGTGTGCAGATGTGTGTGTGTATATAAAGACTCAAAGATATTATCAGTTGTCTTCTCCAGTCTCCTCTACTTTATTGAGTCGGTGTCTCACTGAACCCAGAGTTCACTGGTTCCAGTTAGTCTAGCTAGCCAGCCTGCACCAGGGAATCCCCAACTGCTGCTTATCAAGTGTTCCCCCTGGCCAGGTTTCATATGGGTTCTGGGGTCCTCACCCTGCCAAGACAGTGCTGCATCCACTGAGCCATCTCCCCAGAAGGCATGTGGCTTTTAAGTGGCCCACAAAACAACCATTTCAAGCAAAGGAAAAAGTCTAATGGTGAAACTTCAGCCTCCAGAGCCCCTGGATTCCAAGGAGCTGCGTACTGTGTCGACATCTATGGTTGGTTCTGTGAACTGCAGAACCCCTGCCGAGTTTGCACTCGGGTCAGCTGGAAGCAGGGCACACAGTTCTAAACACCTCCCTGGCATCTCCCAGTTGGCCCTCTAGTTCCGAGACTGCAAACTCATGTTCCTCTGCGCTGTTGTAGGAATAGGAGTTTTCTGGATGCTGAAAGGATGGTTGGGGTAGCACTGGGCATGATTTCAGGAAGAAGGGAGCCCAGAACCACTGTGTCATCCTGCAAGGTTAGGCTCTGTTCACCAGGAAAATTGTCAGCAGGGAAAGCAAAATCTCCCAAGCTCCTCTGGGGGAACATTTGAGTTACTGACCAAGAAGGGAAAAAATTCCACCTTTCCTGGAACCTTGGAGTTAAATGAAATCAGCCGGGGAACAGAAAAGAACTGGGAGGGGTTATAAAAGGTACTGAGATGCCAGGCAAGAAAGAAAGGATATGAAATATGCACGTGTGTGTATGTGTGGCATGTGTGTGTATGTGTGTGCCTGTGGCATGTGTGTGTGCAAGTATATGTGTGTGCATGTGTGTATGTATTATGAAGCATCTGCACGTGTGCCCATGCATGTGTAAATGCACATGTGCATACACGTGTATAAAGTGATGTGTGAACATGCATGCCTGTATGTGCCTATGTGTATGAATGCACATGTGTGTTTGTACTTCTGTGTATGTGACAAATAACTGGCTCTCTGTGTTTTGAAGACAGTTCTTCCTCTGGGGTTGCGATCTTTGTGTCTTGAGAACTTCAACAACTTTGGCGTCTCTGTCACGACATCTTCAGGTAGAAGGACACATCGTATGTGAAATGAAAGTCTCTCAGTCTCTCTCTAAGTGTGACATAAAACTATAATCCCACTTCTCAGGCCTCAGCTTCTGCTGGTGAAGCTTGGCCTGCAGAGCACACAGCTCAGCCTCCTCTTAGCACACATTTCCAGCACCTTTGTTCTGAGTTTTAAAGAACCTTGACTAATTCACTTTAGCGGAAAGCTAATCCTACACTGTAAGGCTAAGTATAAAACAAGTGACGTTCTCAAGGGGTGACAAAAATGAGCAGGGAGGGATCATTAAGTGCTCATTAGCTGCGTGTTGTCACATTAACTATGGGGTGTAACACCAATTTTCTCTTCTTTGTCATTTGCCAACACTATCCCCCATCACGGAGCAGTCTGGCAACGAGAGCCTCAGCAGCTGCTCACCCTTCTCTGCCCCATGGGGGCCCCTGAGCTTTGCTTCCACAGCCGTGAGCCCCAGTCAGGGTCGGCACTCTGGACCAGCCACTGCCAGATCTGCGTGTCCAGGAAACAGTCACGCGCAGGGAGAAAGGAAGCCTGCTGTAAGTGTGGACTTAAGTTTAAAATGTTCTTCGGTGGATGGAGAGACGGCTTAGCAGCTAACTGCTTGCTGCCCTCACAGAGGACCTAGGTTTTGCTCTCAGCATCTGTGTTAGGCAGCTCATAACCACTTATATTGAGTTCAGAGAGATCTGATCCCCTATT